CTCGGCATCGGATCGACACTGTTATCGCACGGGGTGCCCCACGGAACCCGTGCCACCCCTGGGCAACAGCCGCCCTTGTTCCCTCTGCCTCGCAGCATCCAGCATACGTCTCGCATGCGCTCACAGGGTCCCTCCAGTATGAGCAGTATAGTAGTGGCAGTGGTAGTAGTAGTTGTAGTAGTAGCAGCAGCAGCAGCAGTAATAGTAGTTGCTGTTGTTGTTGCTGTTGCTCTTGCTGTGGTTGTGGTGCTGGCGGTAGTACGAGTAGCAGTAGTAGGAGTAGTAGCAGTAGGAGTAGTACTAGCAGCAGTAGTAGTAGTAGTAGTAGTAGTAGTCTTAGTAGTAGTAATGGTGGTAGTAGTAGTAGTAGTAGTAGCAGTAGTGGTAGTAATGATAGCAGTAATGAAATGCGGTAGACGTAGACGTAGACGAAGACGTAGACGTAGAACGTAGACGTAGACGTGGACGTAGACCTAGACGTAGACGTATAGTCGTAGTAGTAGTAGTAGTAGTAGTAGTAGTAGTAGTAGTATTTGTGGTTGTAAAAAGCGGGAGGGGGGTCGGGTTCGTATGGATTCAGTTGTTGATGGCACGATGTTCCGTCCAAAAAAAGCGGAAGGGGGTTGGGGTAGCCCCCTCATTTGCATAATAGCAATAAGAATACTGCTGATAATTGGAAAAAAAAGAAATGTAAAGTTTGGTAAGTTAGCAATAGTAATCGTTTTATTATTGATGATACTCATCAAAATAAGAAGAAGAAACAATAACAGTGCCAAAAATAATGCTAGTAATCGCAACAATAGTAACAGTGGCAATAACAAGAATGATAGTAGCAACGAGCAGCAATAACAGCAATGGTAGTAATGGTTGAAATAATGGCAGTGATCGTAGGAATAGTTGTTAATGATAGTAATTATGGCAGAATCGTACGAATACCAAACCGGTAAAACTCCGAATAGCGGTAAGAAAAGCAAACTATCGGTAACTAACGAAATAACAATAGTAATGAGAAGATTAATGCAAAAGCGAGCTAAGAACAAAAATACTAGCCATCAGTGATACTAAAGATGATCAAAGTGCTTTTTATGCTTTACTGATCCTGTCTTTTTTGTTTTTTGATTCCTACCGCCAACGGCTTGCACTTGGGTGCCAGCAAGGCGCGATTGGCGTGTCGGACATCTTCCAACTTTGCACGCAAATGCTTGGGTGCCGTATGAGCCGAAAGCCGGAGCCAGACCTTACGCGACAGCGAAAGAGCTTTTCGCAAGCCGGCAAACCCATGAGATTGACTCGTGCGTCAATAAGGCGGCAACTGCGCCAGACTCATTCCGGGAGGCCTCAAATCCGTTTACGCCGCGCATATCTGGGAGTTATCAACAGAAGGGAACTGCTAAGGCCCTTTCGGCCCTATCCAGGATCTCCGTTGCGAGGGTTGTCCTTGCATCACAAAAGATGTATGTTCCTTTTGCTTGAAGTATTTTGCAATTAAATCTCGTGTCAAGACACTTGCCACAGCCAGCGGGGCCACGAAGTAGCAGGGTCCCTGTGCCATATCCAGTTCTCCCCTGCCCCAGACAAACGCGTGCCGGGCCTGTGTGCTCAGAAAGCCAAAAGGCCCTTGCATGGTCCCTGCTCGGAACGAAAAGCCGTCCAAGCTGCCCTTCGCAGGAGGCGAAGGGCATAGGGAGAGAGAGAGAGAGAGGGGACTGTCCGCAAAGAACGAACTCGCAAGCTGTTCTCGCCTGAACGCCCCACGCTGTCGGCGAGCGCCAAAGGCCGAAGATGCGGAGCTTCCGGGTCCAGCCGCCTGGACGCATAGCATGGCTTTTGGCTTATAGTCGAAGAGCTTATGGCCATGCACCACAAACCGCTGCCAAGGGTCATCGAAAACAGGTCCAGCTCTTCCAAGGCCATGGAGTTGCAGATCCACTGACACACCTGGCAACATTGGTTGGGTCGCACCCAAGAACAAACCCATGATTTTGGCTTTGAGGTCTGGAGGGTCCGGAGTCCGCATTATACCGGGCCCCGGTTGCCTCCGGGCGTGCTTTTTCCCGGGTAGTGGACTGAATGGACCAAGCCAGGGCCAGCGCCCACGCCGCTGCAGCGAAGTCCTCCCAAGCATTCGATACAATTGCTCTCGACGATGATTTGAAATGGTGGTTGTTCCTTTTGCAACTGCAAAGCTAACGGTCAAGCTCAAATGCTTGACGGTACATATACAATTCAAGTTCAAAACCAAGCTTTACATCACAAAGAAACAAGCAGTGATTCAGACTCAACCTGTTCTCTTGATTTGTCGTGAGCGTAGAAAATACGATACAGGCTATGCAACATTGTACTATTCAGCCAAAATCCTTGGCATGATATTCCTAACCGGTAGTATCATCTTGCGAGTGGCATGTGCAGCTTACACAGATGATACGATCCATGACCGTCTGCGAGACGACAACGTAGCTGTGTTCAATTTGCACACGCCGGATTCAATCTAACGATGAAGTCCGGCTTCATTGGCTTTGCGAAACAGTCACCAGCTTGCTTAGCCGTGTCTTGATCCAGTCCACACGATCTCCGCCACCAGAGCGCGCTTCGCTTGATCTGAAGTCTTTTGTCCTGAACCCGTGCAAGAGCATCGGAATTCAAATGATCGGCTAAACTGCGATTGCGCCAGTGTATCTCATTTGGTCCCAAAGGATCCGAATCCATAGATCTCGGCCAATACAGCCCGAATCCTGTCACCTGCGCTTGTGCATTCTGCAAAAAAACGTCTCGGGCTCTGCATACTCTCTTGATGGTGGTGCTTGAGAACGATTCGACCATAACGCTGCACGCCTGACACGTAGGATCACAAGGCCGCAGGCACTAGGAAATGGATACGGCCCTGTTGGGATCTACTGTTAAATTCCCTTGCAAAGCTGGCGTCTGAAGCGGTCAGCACGCCCAATTTGTCAAAATCGACAATTCCATTCCGGTACCTTAGCTTACAGTTTCTACCTTAAACCGCGAGCTCCCACACCTTGTCACCTTGTTGCTTCGTGCAAGGTAGCTGTGGTAGCTCCTTTCTGGATGTCTGAAGCTTCTAAGCATGATACAAGACCTCCGGCCTTGCCTGCCTGGATATCCATTGGTGTTCGGCACCCTACTTCGATTCGTAAGTAGGTGATCGATGATCTTGCCGCCTCCCTCGATCGATGCCCATAAACAATCATCGACGTGTGTCGCAAGTACACAACTCTTTCGTTCTCTCGGTAGTAGTAAAATGCGGGGAAGATACGGCTCACCTCTCTCGACCTTGCGCCAAAACCCTTTGCCGCTGTCGCAGAGTCCATAAACCGGTACTTTGATCAACAAAATTGCTTCCGGATCTACATCAGGTGAACCTCCGCTCGGTTGTGTCAAGCAGGCGTTACGGATTTGCAAGGACTCAAAAGGGACTCCGTGCGACGCAGCACGCGCTGCCGATCCAGTCGGGCTCTTCATCCCTACGGGTGTGAAGCAAACTCCGTTGGTAGGCCTCTTCGGCCTCCTGGCGCGCCGTGCAATGGCATCATCAAGTTCTGCCACATTGTATGACCCCGCATTCCCATCTTTTGAGGACCTTGCGGGGAAAGGATCGTAGGTGGCTCATGAAGGCACTTAAGGCCCGAAGGGGTCGGATACATCCAAGTTCTGCAGCGTGTCTAGCTGCAGGTCTGGCTGCTGCCACGGAACCATATGAGTCGAAGACTCCCGCTCGGCGTGTTATGCTTCGGCCTTGTGCCCACGAGTGCCGTGGAACGAACCTCGACGGGCTTCCGGGACTTTGGTCCATCCCGATGGATCCACTCCTCTAGGGCGGGCGCCTGTCGTGTTGGTACTGGAACCAGGCCTACCACCCTTGCCGCTGCGGTGGTGGTCCTCGTAGGATCCACCCAGGCCGCGTCGCTCACGGAGGTGTACACCACTGCAGTGCTCCACAAGGATAGCACACACAGACTCGAAGTTTCAGCTGTCGCCGGCGCACACATCTCGAGCAACAGCTCGACACGCATCGTCTCCCCGAGCTCGATGCTGCTGTCCAAAGACCCACCACTGCCTGCGGCGGCTGGTGTATGATAACATACTCTCGCTTTGGCGTGCGCGCGTGCACCTTGCCTTGGCCTGTGCGGAAGTGCTCACGAGCTTCTCCCGCACGGGGGAAAACGATGCTGTGCATCTAGCTGATAAAATCATGTAGACCACTAGGCGCGGTGAGAGATTCTATTCCGATATCTCGCTAGTTCGAAAGCTTCGTCGCGAAGCCCTTCAAGAACACTGTGCGCCATCTCTGCACATGCCGTCACAGCATAAGTCATCCATTAAAAGTGAATCCCGTACGCTTTTCACGGATCCCGAATCCGATCCGGACTTCGGGGAGCTTAGGTCCGCAGGTGCCCCAGACTTGGGTGCAGCCTTGGCTTTATAGGCTCAGGTGCGGCACGGGTCGGGCTAGATGCCTCGCCATCAGAATCAGGCTCTTCCGGGTCGACACTTTGTCGCCGTTCTTGGTTTTCGCCCGGCTGGCACCTCGTGCAGCTTGGGCCTCATAGCTGCACAACAATTCCCAGTCGGGAAACGAACTGGGCTCTCCCCCGTACATATGGGAGCCGGACCGAGTCTCCTGCGAAGTGCTCGATGAGATGAGCCAACAACGCTCATTGCTAAGTGGGCCCGCCCCGCTCGGCTAGATTCGGCTAGTCCCGAAAGGTTCCAGCTCCGCTACCAGTTTGAGGCCCAAGGGCCCCAATGGCGACGGTATATATAATACAAGGTACGGTCAAGACCAAGGCTTTACATCACAGATGAGGCGATCCCGCGCGGCGTCACCGGCAGCATGCCGTGTACATGACTCAAAGCTCAATCCTGATCAGCTACAAACTAAGAAATCTCATGGGCTTCGGAAGTTGGAGAAGAAATCGTGGTCCCATCCAGTGTGCATATTTAGGGGTGAGATTGGCGCCTCGCGAAGTCGCTACGGGGATTCAAGGGCCATGAGTCTCCTCGCTCAAGTGCCCAAATTCGTCGACATCTCCAGTAGCAGCCAACCTCCGAGCAACGAGGTGCTGATTTTGAGCAGAGGCAGAGCAGAGCGCAAGCAGAGCTTCGAGCTCCAGAAAGAAGCGCCCGAAGCTCATCAGCCAAACTTCGAGGCGAACCTCAGAGGCCGTGGGGTTGTGTCAGTTGTGTCGTGCCACGCGACACGCCGCGACAATTGGCTGAGCCGGCGGCTCCGCCTTCGCTTGTGAGTCCCTCCACCTGGAGGTCCCAAAGCTCCGAAATGCCCGCTTGGAGCTTCTCCAGACAGCCTCCGGCTCCGACGTCAACGAGAGAGATAGAGGGAGAGAGGAGACTTCGCGACGTCGCCCGGCTGAGCTTCCGGGCCCTGCAGCTGCTCGGGCTTCAGCGACGCCCGCTGCAGCATCTCTTGGAGCCGATGAAATGCCGCTGCCACTGGCACCTCTGGCCTAAGGCTGCGCAAGAAAGCTCCCTCTCAGAGCCTCTATCAGAGCCCCTCTCTCTCAGTTCGAACTGCTTTCCTTTCGTTCCGGTCCGTTCCGGTCTCAGGCGAGGGCAAGGCCACCACTGCACAGCGTGTGACCAGTGCCGGCGAGGCCTCCGCCAGGTCCACGCACTCGAAGACCACGCGCAGCGCCTCCGGTCCGAGCAGAGCCGAAGCCGCGGATTCCGCGGATCATACCAAAAAACAAGCGGCCACACTTTGCCTGCTGCAGCTCGATTCGGTGAGCGAAGCCGGGAATCCAGAAGTGGCGATCGCGGTCCAAGAAGCCGTGCAAAGCATCTGCCCAAGGTCCCAACTCGCCGTCGAGAACCACCCACGGCACCGGCACACGACGCACGCGTGCCACGTGCGCCACAGGCGCCTGCTCCCGCAACACGCAGCCAGCAGGGCACATCTCAGCTCTGCGAAGCGTCTAAAAGCTGCCTGTTGATTCTGAAGTGTTCCAGCCGATGTAGCCCCCGGAGCCACCCCGGCCCCGGCCCCGGCCCCGGGCCCTTCCTCGAGCTCCGCCTCTTTCTCGCGAAATGTCGAGACATGAGTTGCGGCTGAACTGCAAGCATCTGCAAGCCTGCGCGAAGGAGCTGAGCAGCTGGACCAGGGAGCCAGCTTCTCCGTAAAGCTCGTCGCAGTCGTAACTACTCGAGTAGATCCGCTGGATCTTGGGAACCTGAAGGCAGCTGTGCCGACGGCTACAAACGCTCTGAGCTCTTATCGGCCGCCTCGATCAACTCCTCTTTCTCTTCTTCATCTGTGATCCCCGAAAAATCAGCGAAAGAGACACGAGCGAATCACGGTCCTGGGGGCCTGCCAGTTCGTCCGTGCCTGAACCTGCGCTCGCCGAGTCCTTTCAACGAGCCATCCACAACGGGGGACGTCTTCGAAGATCTTCACAACACGGACTCCTCCTGATTCATCTTGCGTGCTGTAGCTTTCCTGGGCGCGGGCGCTTGCAACCGGCAGCACCGCCACAACTCTGAGCAGCCAAGGGTGGCACACGTCGGGCAACACGCTTGCCTTGCCGGAGCCTCCGTGAACTGCATGAGAAGTGAACGCTCGAAAAAGCACGGCTCACAGACTTCAAAAAAGACGGTACTGATACTGTAGGCTCAGTTGCGGCGGGTCAGCTCTCCCTGAAAATCCCCTGCAAGAGCTGTGCAAGTGGCAATTGGGCCGGGATTTGTGCCTGTGACCGTGGCTCCATTCGCAGCTCCATGGGCTCCGGCTTGGCCGCTTTGCGCGTTGGGGGCGAGCGCGGCCAGGCGCTGGGCGTAGAAGCTCTCCTTCCTCCGTTGCAGATCCTCCAGCAGACGGCTCTTCCCTGCACCGCTGTGGCCCAAGAGCACCTCCGAGAGGGGCGCGCAGGCGCGCAGGCGCGTGGGGGGCGCGCAGGCGCTCTGAATGTGCCGAGCTGCGACTCCGGGCTGAGCCACGAGGGACTCCTCCAACTTCTCCACGGCGAGCTCCTGCTGTGAGCGGCCGCGGCTCTGGAGGAGGGAGGTGTGGTCCCCCTGCGGCTGGAAGACATCAGCCAAGGCCTGGAGAAAACACTGACACATGAGGTCATTGAAACTGGCGGCACGAGGCACACGGCCCCGTGTCGACAGCGGACCGGCCTCGAGCTCCTCTTTGGGGATCAAGGACTGCAGTTGGTACTGGAAGAGCTGCGCCAGCAAGTTCGGCTCGAAGACCTCCACAGCCAGCCCTGCCAGGCCTGCGGAGCGCAGAGGCGCAGAGCTGCCACTTCTGCGCGCTGGGCTCATCTGGGCTCCCAAAGGCCTGTGCTGCCGTCGTGGCGCCGTCGCAGAGCACCGGCCTCGGAAGTGCTCCGGGACTCCGAGAAAGGAGGCGTCCGGACGCCTCCCGCCTTCTCGATGAGCACTCGCAGGGCTCGGAGTCCAAAGAAGGGCTCCTCAGCTCGTGTCTTAAAAGCTCCGTCTCGTCTCGTCTCTCTCTCGATGCCGCCTGCGCCTCCTGCAGGGAGACCAGGTGGCCCCAGAAGATGCCAACCTCACAGACGCGTGGCGGACAGGACACTTGGAGAAGGGACTTTCTTGTTTCCTTGGGGGCCCCGGCTTTTTTCCCCAAATCTGGGTCTTCGCTGAAGCCTCTTGGGAGAGCTCAGCAGTGAAAACAGGGGGACGCGTGGGCCAGGACAAAACGGGGGACGCCTTCTGCGAGAAGGAGCACTTCGGCCAGGTGTGAGACGTGGGCCACACTGGGAAAGGCCAGGCTGACCGGCCGCAAGCAGCTTTGGAGGCTCTCGAAGGTCGCAGAGAAGCTTGGCCCCAGCCTCCCGAAAGCAAGCTTGGAAGTCATCACCTTTGGGCGGTGGCTCGCAGGGCTCGCCTGGAGTCCACGGTGGCAGAGATGGTGGCACCAGGCTTCAAAGTGACCATCCTGCCTCAGAAGGAGCTAGCAGCTAGCTCCCCCTGCCCTTTCTCTGAGTTTGCCACCGCCTGACCCCTGACGGGCCTTGCAGGTCGAAGCTCTCGCGCTGGGCGCGCTGGGCCTCCTGGAAGCGGCGGAGCTGCCAGGCCCAGGTGCCTCGTCTTGGCTCAGAGGAGGGGAGGGCTCCCTCCGTCTTGCTGGCCTAGGTTGTCGCCGTGAAGGAGGTGGATGCGGTCAAGCAGAAGCCAACAGCCCTGTCAAGCGCTTGCGGAGTACGGAGCGGCTTCGCTTATCTGTAGCTGGCTCGTGCCGCTTTTAACCCCGCCGAGCTTAGCGTTCATAACATCGGCTCAGCCTTCCTGATGGTGGGAGTTCCTGTTCACGTTGAGGGCCCCAGTGTTTGCAATTCCGTCGAATCTGTGTACGGCCTAGGGCTCATAGGCTTTGCCGCTGCCGGTTTCCGGATTGATGCTCGCTCGAGGGTTTTGAGGGTTTTTCTTGTGCCTTCGGCACTCCGGTTGCACCTGAGGGTTTCTCAGCTTGGGTTCCTTTCCTAGGGGGGTGAATGAGGCTCGAAGTGGATTTGTTGCCGGTGTTTCGGACGTTGCCCCCATGCTATGACTGCTATGATGTGTGTGCGGCGCTTGGGCTCGACATGGTGCCCCAGTGCCAAAGCCGGTCGATCGCAATTTCTGTACGATGCTTGCGCCGGCCCAAAACGCGACGGCGGCGGCGGAGGTGGCGGCCAGAGCTCAAACCCCGCGAAGCCTTCGCCGCCCTGTCGGCCGTCCGCCGTCGACTCTGGGAGTCGCCAGAAGGCGGCTTATGCCGGCAAACGGGCCCGCACTCTGCGGCTTCTTGGACGTACACGGGTCAGTTTGGTCTAAAAGTGAAGCTGCTGATTTGAGTCTGGTGTCGCAGTCCGAATCCACAGGCCTGCAGCGCCACGCCCTCCATGAACTGCGCACTGAGGTCTGACACGTCGCGGCGGGCGACGTGGTACACCACGCAATAGAGGCCTTGCACTGAGAAGCGTCCCACGGCACGTCACGGCGCGGAGCCGGCGGAGACTATTCGTGGCGGAGGCGCCGAGGGCGGCGGCCAAGCCTTTGCTCAGCTCCGTCTTGCCGCTGCCGTGAGCGCCGACCAAGGCCACGCCCAAGTGCAAGCGACAGGCCTCGGAGAGTCTTCGCGGCTTCGCGCTCGCGCGGAGGCGGAGAGAGTCTTCGCTTCGCTTCGCTTCGCACTTAGCCTTAGCAGCCTTAGCAGCCTGCCTGGGTGAGGGCGATCCAGCACCTCTCAGTCTCCGGAGCCATCACCAAGCGCTCCGTGGAGCCAAGAAACTCCCAGCCTCAGTCAGCCGCTCAGGCTCCGCGCGCTCCGCCCTGAGCCTGAGCCTCCCCGCCTCCCCGCCTCCCCGCCTCCCCTTTCATTTAGAAGTGGGCACATGGGCCCTTTCGAGCCGAGGCTCCGTAGGCGAAGCTGCTACTCAGCTGGGACACGTTGAGCCGAAGGGCACTGGGCGCAGCCGTGCCCAAAGCTTCGCCTCCGGCTGAAAAAGCTTTCTTCCTAGCGCTCGGAAGTTCTTCGGAAGTGTATAGAGACATATAGAGTCTATATAGAGGACCTTGCATGGTGCGTTGTCATGCCGCCCTGCGCCGCCCTTCCCCGCCTTTGAGATCCAGCGAGTAGCGAAGGTGCTTCTGGAAGTCGAAGCTCCCTGGACTGGCGCCACGCACCAAAAACCTTGGGGGCACTCCGGGGGCAACGTCTCCCAACCGGACCCTTCTGCAATCCGCGCGCACTCTCGCGCACTCATGCGCACTCCTGCTATCCCAGACTGCGTGCAAGAACCCTGCGAGATGCAGCATCGCGACCTCTGTTTCGTTAGTTCACCCTACCGGAAAGTAAACACGAACATTCGCTTGTGGCTCACGCCCAACTATGACCCGCACAACGGAGGCTTTAGCTCGCTGAAGCTTTTCGCTTCAAGGATGTTCACTCGCAGATGGAAGCCGTGGTAGAATGCGGGGCAAGTGCCGGAGACCGTTAACACGCTTGCTTTCAACAGATTGTGAACTGCGTCTCAAGCTCTGACTCCGAGCAGCTCGAGCTGGCTTTGCCTCTGTTTGAAGACCACGAGCAGGGACGAGGCCACACGCCGCTGCGCAGCGCCGCCCTGCCGGACGGCGCGCTGCAGCAGCCTGCAAAACAAGCGAAGCAAAGCATCCCTGCTGCATAAGCCCTGCAATGCAAGCATCTCTGTGGGGCGCGGCACCCGGCCTTAGCTGCAGGGTGCTGTGCCACTGCTGAAGATGCTCCTGCGGCAGACGGGCGGGTGGGGGGGAAAGCGCGAGAGAAATTTGCTTGGATGAAGTCCTTGGCCGCTTCCCGGCTTTGCAACAGCAAAGACCTCTGCCCGTGCCACAAAGGTTCGGAGGAGGGAGCACGGGCGGAGTGCGGGCATTGAGCCCCAGGCTCCAGCTGCATCGTCCAGGTCACTTGCCAGGCCACTTCCACGACCTCCAGAGCGGAGGCCGCGTCTTTCCGACTCTTCCGCTCCTCTTCCGCTCAGCCTGGCTGGGCAGAGCGGAGGCCACGGCCCACTCCAGGGCGTTGCCCGCAGCAGCCTTGCAGCGGGGCTCCCGGCCCCCCACCAACCGCGAACCCTTTTAAATGCCTCTTCGATGGCCCCTTTCAGGAGCTGTCGGAATGCCGCCGTCATCGAAGCCTGGATTGCCTCGAGCGTCTGCTCCGGGCCCCGGAGCTTCACCTCAGGGCAACGCTGCCTTTGACAAGCAGTCAAAAGCCAGGTCAAGAGTCAACAGTAACAGCAAGTTGGAAAAAGCAACATGAAATATAAAAAAAAACATGAGAAAATAACGAGAAACGAATGAGAATCGAATGGAATACGCTCACCTACACCCGTCAGGCTGATTTTTTTCTTTGGGATTGGGCACTTCATGATTTTCCCAAGACTGAAATTCTCCGCTGGCGTCCCATCATGTTCGGCTAGTGTTTAATTCATTTCCCATGCTTTTTGCATAGCAGTCAAGTGCTTCGGGGTGTTGGCAGACTTCGTACATGCTACACAACTTTCGCTATCCCGCCCTGCATCCACCTGTTCCGTGTTTGCCAAGTCCCAAACCCCCTTACATCAACGTATTCCCTGCATACATCCTGGGCCGATAAGCTGCTTGTAGAGCTTTGTTCACTGAGACACTAGTTGAGGTGCCGAAATATGGAGTCACGTGCCCTTGTTTCCCCGTGTGCAAGAATCCAGAGACGTGCTGACAATGCTATGGATGCTGATTTGTAAGAACACACACCAAACTTTGGGCAGGCTCAGCCTCAGAGTCAAACTTTGGAAGTCTCTTCAAACCAGCATCCGTAGTAAGGACAAAGTGCGTTTGCTCCTTTCGTAGTTTTGCTCCTTGAAAACCTGAGTTACACACTCATGGCTAAGGGCGTCTCACTCACCAGCCTTTGGAGATTCTGCGTGTCGGAGCAGGGATCAAGGCTTACAGATGTTGTGCGCACAGACGCCGCAACGCGCGCAGATTCTCACGTATTGTTCCAGACACACCACACGGTGGAAAAGGCTCGGAGGGCAATCTTAAGGAGAAATAGGTGGGAATCCAAATCACCCCCGAAGCCCGCAATTCAAGCCACAAGTGACACAAGTGCGCCCGAGAACCCGCACCTTAGCGGGCAGTCGCTCCCCGGCGACGGAGAGCAGCGTCACAGCGCCGTCCTCGAGCTCCCAGGAGCCCAGACCTGCACGGAAGCGGAAGCGGGGCCAGGCGGGTGCGGGTGCCCTCTAAAGAAAAGCGCCTTTAACGTGTCCCCGCTGATATCACGTCTCGTCTTCTCAAAGGCGTCTTCTCAAAGCTGAGAAGGCTAGCGGCTAGCTCTCTCTGGCGCTCTCTCTCTCTGGCGCTCTCTCTCTCGGCACCTGGGAAACACTGCCGTGCCAGGGACTCCATGGCTCTTGGAGAGCTGCGCTTCCCAAAAAGCCGGAGGAACTGTAGAAGCACCGCATCGGAAAAGAAGAAGAGCCGCGGAAAGCTCTGTCGCCTCGGAGAGAAGCGCAGCGAGAGCGCGCCACGCCCCCCCCCCCCCCCCCCC